TGGCAGGCCTTTGTGATATTTTTAGCTTGCGATTCAATATACCTTTAGATTACACACTCATACACAGAGATACTGTACATGGTGTAATGATGTTGTGAGTGGTGCAGATAAATCATGGACACTTTAATCAAACCACAAAGGTATAAGAGAATAATCAATCATTCAGTGCTCTGCTCTTCTTCTTCTTCTTCTCTCTCTCTCTCTCTCTCTCTCTCTCTCTCTCTCATCTCTCTGGCCTAAGCAGCATGCCTGCAGTGTCCATGGGTAATAAAGGTGTCAGATCATTTCAAACTTGCTATTATTATTATTTGTATTGCAGACACTGCAGTGTCCCTATTCTATGGGGGCTTGGAGGGCACAAAACATCAATTTAACCAAACAGTAGTGAATCAAAACATTTGTGCATTCAATAAAATAGTCAAATTCATACAAATTCAATTAAATAGTTCACAATGGTGCATGTGAGAAAATTAAGCCCCGCAAATCCACAAGACTGCAAATACAGTACATGTCAAGTGTGCTATTTTGAGTAAGACACAGTTAGACAAAATAATATCAAAATAAATGTCGATAGACATTAAAGAGCACTTCAACTTCTACTCAAGTCACTTTTTTGATAGAGCACTTGTACTTTTACTCAAGTCAGAGTCTCTAGTACTTTATACATCTCTGATCCTGACAGTATCCCGACATCTGAGACGACGGACAAAGACGGCGACGAGGGTAGGAAGGAACCGACTCCAGATGTCTGGATGATCCAATCTCTTGGATCTTCCGCTCAGTCTGGCCATGTGTCTGAGGATGGTATCCAGAAGATAAGCTGACAGTAACCCCAAGGAGTCTGAAGAAGGCTTGCCGAACCCTTGAAATGAACTGTGGACCTCTGTCCGACACTATGTCCTCGGGGATGGCAATATTTTGAAACACATGACTGAAGAGGGCCTCTGCAGACTCAAACGCAGTTGAAGTCCAGGCAATGGGATCTGCTTGCAAGCCTTCGAAAAGTGATCCACAATGATGAAGACACAAGTGTTGTTTCTGGATCTGGGAAGGTTAGTCATGAAATCAATTCCAAGGTGGGACCACAGTCATTGTGGGATACAAGACTCAGTATCCCCGAACGTACCTGGAAACATCCCTTGAGATGGATGGCCACCGGTACCGATTACTGAGGAGCGAGAGGATACGCCTACTACCTGAATGTCCAGAGCCCGAAGCGGTATGAGTCCAGAAGAGCGGCACAAAGATGAAGAGGTACGAAGAACGAAGACGTACGAAATAGAAGGGCATATGTACTCACTGAAGACTTTCTTTGACGAAGGTTGAAGAGCTAATGGTGAACGGTGAGATCAGAAACTGTCTGACCAAACGCTTCCTTGAAATGCTGAATGAAACTTGAAAGGGATTTAAACGCAGGAGAATCTGAGTTCCAGAGAGATTGGGCCCATTGGAGAGCTCAGAGGCAGAACATCAACAACCTTTATTCTCAACGCGGATGTCCAAGGCTAGAAACATTATTAAGGGTAAATAACTGTTTAGGGTCAAACATGGGGGTAAAACAGCAAGATAAACCATATCAAAAACCATCAAATCTTTTCAAAAACGTATAATGTCTGGGAACATCCTGCCAGTGTTTACAGGATAATATCCACATAACTTTAAGATGCTGAATAGTAAAAATACAAAGTAAAGAATGTTACTGTCTATGTCTGTCATGGCACAATTCATATCGCAGGCACAGATAGAGGTCACACACAGAGTGTGTGTGCAGGTATCTACGTGAGACAAGCCACAAAAGCTCAGCTCAACAGAATGATGGAGAGGTTTATGTTTTATTCTGGATTCGGTGGGCCTTTTGCTGCTCTTTACACAATCTGCCTGTGATAAATGATAAGACACTTGAACCACACTCAAATGACATTTAGGGTATCATTCTGAAAGACCTTAAAAGGGCAGGACTGATAGATATCACAAGCCATTGTGCTGCTACTACCAGGACAAAGACAATCCTGTTACAAGGATATACAGTTCCATATCAAAATACATAAGATGATATTTGCAAAAAGACAAATATTGCTAAATAATTACTGAATTTTGTGCATTCTGCTTCTTTAAATTTAATCAGAGATTATAGATTCATCTTTTTCAAAGTGATAATTAATCCAGTAAGATGCATCCTATATCTTATCATCAAACTGAGTAAAGATGATTAAAACATACACCATCTGGAGATTACACCTGCATATTAAGGAGGTGTGTTGGGTGATGGATTTAATTTCGTTACTGGGGTGGAGCAATTTCATTCTTTCACAGTTTCCTCTGTGAGCATTTACCACCACCTACTGACGAGCTACTGCAGTGACATGGAAAAAATGGCCTAGTAGGGAAGAGATGCAGATGCACAGTAGTAATATCTTCTGTTTAAATTCGATTACTACTCTGTCTGTCGTTCTGGCATGACAGCGTCACATCAAACTGTCCCTATCTGACCTTTCTAGGCTACAATACGATACATCAAATGTTTATTTGATGAAATATTTTTAAATTATTTTGATTCAAACTTCTGTTTGAAAATTTTGATAATCTATTTCTGTAGGCTATTGTGTCTCATTTCATTGTTTTGTTCTTCATTTGTTTAATCCCATGGTGCTGATCATTTTCAATGAAGAAAGCTCTTGTCATTGCCAGTGTGTGACAAATAAAGTAGGCCTAGTACAGAACTCGGTTAAGATGACTGAAAATGCATCAGCTAGTCATTAGTGAGTCGTGACAATCTTACAAATAGAAGGAAATTGCTGCGACTATACACCATAAAATAGGCTTTTTGTGAAGAAAAATAGATATGCAACTTGTGTAGCAGAGGAATATGCAAGATTTCCCAAAACATCCTAACATGTCCAAATATTGCAGCACAAAGATAATTCACCTAGAAATTCTGTCATAATTTACTCACGTTGTTCCAAACCCGGATGAAGTTCTTTCTTCTGTTGAACACAAAATAAGATATTTTGAAGAACATGGATAGCAGTAGCAGCTCCTGGCCATAAATGTAGGTAGGGCAGATTCTGGGTCTTAGCGCTAGGTAATGATAAACATTTTGTAAGCTCTATATTATCGCAATCGCTTGACACAACAGACACACTTTTGGCCGAATTGGTTTTATGCACAGCTGCACTACTAGGCTACTTCCTGAACTTTAGCCAGCTCCTTGTTTCCTGTCTGCCATTACAGGACAAATTGATTCATCCAGGTGTGCCTGACCTCAGTAGACACGGCAACAATAATCAGACACACCTGAATTAATCAAGTTCGGCCAATAATGGCAAACAGGAAACAAGGAGCTGGCTTAAGTTTGGGAAGTAGTGCAGCTGTGCATAAAGCCAATTGTACTTATTTATTCAGCCTGATGGTGGCGCTCTAATGATGAATGACCATTGTGATTGACATACGTTAGAATCCTATAGACTTAAACATTGCGAATGCAGTTTAAATAATTACAAGTTAGAAATTCCAGTGAGGAAAACAAGTTATGTCTAATCTCAGAACAAACACAAAACAAACCCAACTCCGGTCTAAAAATGGCTTGTCAAATGGTAAGATGGCATTCAACACAACAAAGAAGAACGACTGTAATTTAAATCATACAAAACAAAGAAACAAGGAAAAAGTAACACCTGACCTGAGCCAAGTGGATTTATAAAAGATAATGTGGATTATACAATAATTTTCCTGATTTTCTGACCATACATCATTGAATAGTCGATTCTTACAGATGAATACAAAGACAGCAGGGGAATGAGGTAATCATTTGACTTACTTCTATCGTTCTGCACAGAATGCTGCCTCCTGATTCGATCCCTGCTAAAGGGTAGCCCAAGACAACGGTTTTGTTTGAGGAATATCCTTCAACATGAATGGTTTAATGTAATGAGCCCAAGATCACTTATTATTTTAAAGATTTTAGAAATGTTTTCTTCTAATTGTAATCTACGACTGTAACCTTTTGTTTGTTTGTTTGTTTGTTTCAGGTCACAAAATAAGACATTAAGAGGAATGTCAGAGCAGCATGTCATGTTAGAATTCCTCTCTTGGCCACCCCAGAAGTTCCCGTGAAAGCTGCTTCTGCCAAGGCACTCTCCAAAAGATCATGCACTGGATGTCACAGAGTTTTCCTTTGGCTGCTTCCTCCTATTCTTGGATAATGACTTATTGTTCATTAACTGTAATTGTTCAATATATAATATTGGTGTACCTGATCTTGAGAAATGGTCTGTGTGTTATTGGTGTGGATTTTTCACCAGTTTCGTTGCAGGTTACATTGACTTGACTTATGAAGCATGGTTGAGCCTCAATTTACCATAACTAATGTGTGTGATGACTGTTTATATGTGAATAAAAGCCTAAATTCAGTCTGTTTATCATATAAAGCGATCACATCTCTTCAGAAAATTTGGACTAAATCGTTCAATTCATATGGATAAGGTTTCAATCTCTTCACAAACTTTTCGAAGCATCAAAGTGGTAGTTTTGTTGACCATCAATGGAGGGACAGAAATCTCTCAGATTTCATTAAGACTATCTTCACTTGTGTTCTGAAGATGAACAAAAGTCTTACGGGTTTGGAACGACATGAGAGTTAGTAAATGACAGAATTCAAAATTTTGGCAGAACTAACCCTTTTAGTTTAGTTATCAAGTAAATTTAAACTGCAAGTTGCTTTAAAATGTCATACATAAACTGACCATATATACTGAAATAATTGTCATATAAAAATAAGTGTGAGATTTAGCCAGTCAGTTTAGGATTATGATTTTTTTTTGCACAAAAAATTGCAAAGAATTTAAATATGCCCTGCTTGATATACTCAATTTAGTAGGCTACCATTTAAAGAGCAAGTTATTTTAATCCATACAATCTAATCTACATACAAATTAACCATGTACAAAAAAATTCTAATCTACACTATTTAAACTTCTCAAAATCTTAAAAGAAAACAAAAATATGTTTTACAATCACAGAATTTATTGAACAAATTAAATGAACATTTGGAGTGTCGTCAGGTCAATCAATAACAATAGCCATCAGACATATTCATGAAACGGTGGTTAAGCTTTTACCATATAAAGACCTTTTGAAGACATTTCCTTTAAACAATTTTAAAGCTATATGGCTTATGACTTCTCTATTTAGAAAAAAAGTAGTTAAAAACATACCTGTATATACACAAACATACATATTTACATGTCTTGTTTTTTAATTTTTTTTTATCTGTGAAGATCTGTGAAGTTGTCCATAGTTTTCATTAAAACATCAGTACAGGGAGAGTATATTGTGCTGACAAAATTATCACCACATAAGAAGTACACCTGAAGATGTTATCAACACAACAAGGACTTGTAAGTAAAAAGCATAAAATATTCAGCAAGGAAAGTACAAAAGTGACTTTCAAACGCAACGTTCAAACTCATGCAAATTTATAAAGAAACAAAAAATGTGTCAGTCAACAGTCAAGATGAATGACATTCATGATGGGTTTTCAGATTCTGTAGACTTTGCCCTTGAGTTGTCAGATCTTTCTTTTCTTTCCTCTTTCTTTTCTCTGCTCCTGCTTCTGTCCCGTCTGTCTCTGTCTTTCTCCTTGCCTCTGTCTTTGTCCCGTTCTCTGTCCCGATCTCTTCTCTCACGGTCTTTTCCGCGTTCTCGATCCCGACTCCTTGAGCGTTCTCTTCTCCTGTCTCTATCTCTGTCACGGTCTCTATCTCTGTCCCTGTTCTTTGCTCGCTCTCGGTCATGGTCTTTTCGGTCTTGATCTCTCTCCCTGTCTCGGTCATGGTCTTTTCGATCTTGATCTCTCTCCCTGTCTCGGTCATGGTCTTTCCGGTCTTGATCTCGATCTCGATCTCTGTCTCTGTCTCGGTCATGGTCTTTCCGGTCTTGATCTCGATCTCGATCTCTGTCTCTGTCATGGTCTTTTCGGTCTTGATCTCTGTCCCTGTCTCGATCATGGTCTTTTCGGTCTTGATCTCGATCTCTGTCTCGGTCATGGTCTTTTCGATCTTGATCTCTCTCCCTTTCTCGGTCATGGTCTTTTCGATCTTGATCTCTCTCCCTGTCTCGGTCATAGTCTTTTCGGTCTTGATCTCTCTCCCTGCCGCGGTCTCGGTCTCGATCTCGATCCCGATCCCGGTCTCTCCTCTTGTCTCCATCTCCGTATCGGTCAGGCTCTCTGCGATCCCTCTCCCGACTGTGTTCTCCTTCCCTTTCCCTGCTGCGACCCCGCTCCCTTTCTCTTTCCCTGCTCCGGTCTCTTTCACGATCCCTTTCTCTGCCCCGTTCATGTTCATGATCCCTGTTCCAGCCCCATGATCTTCCACTATGTCCACCTTCTCTGTCTCGGTCTCTCCTCCTATCCTCAGACAAGTCACGCTGCCTCTCTTCAGACATTCTTGAGGGGGCATCTCTGTCACGCGAACCACCATCAAATCTACTTGGACGGTTATGTGGCTCTGCAGTGTCTCGGCTGGAACTGCTTCTCCTCCTCATTTCAGGTGAGTGACGTCTCCAGTGGTCATCGCGGTGGGTGTCTGGGCTGTGTCCACCTATACGACCCTGTATTGGGATGGGACCTTCAGGTGGTGTTGGAAGCAGAGGTCCACGAACAGGTCTAACATCTCTAACATCATTTGGACCATCATCATTGTAGTTAAATCGTGCTGGCGGGCCAACAGCTTCCTTATCATAATGTCCTACTGGTGGACCTCTCTGGCCACCAAATTGTTGAACTGATGGTCCCCGGTGCCTTTCAAAGTCTTGAGATGAAGTTCCCCGTGGTTCCTCAAATGGTCCCCGGTGCCTTTCAAAGTCTTGAGATGAAGTTCCCCGTGGTTCCTCAAATGGTCCCCGGTGCCTTTCAAAGTCTTGAGATGAAGTTCCCCGTGGTTCCTCAAATGATCCCCTGTGTTGAGGTGAACCACGGAATTGGTTCTGAGGTGGAAATCGCTGTCCTGACATTTCACCTATAGGACCAGGAGGTCCTCTACGTCCATCAAAGTGGTTTGGTGGTGGTCCCCTAAAGGGAGGCCCGTGTGAGGGTATCTGGGGCTTCTCTATTCCCTGATGATAAGAGTTCCCACCATCTTCAAAATGATCACCAGGTCCTCTTGACATGTTAGATGGAGGGCCATGATCCCCAATATTATGAAGCAGAGGTGGGCCTCTTGGCCCTGGGAAGTGGGATGGTGTTGGAGCTCTATTAACAAAAGGATTTGGAGGGGGACTGGGGAATGGTGGAGGTGGGCCCCTAGGTGCAGAGAAGCTAAAGGGGGGTGGAGGCCCATTAAACCTTTGTCCATCAAAGCTGGGAGGGGGTGGCCCGGGTAGTGGAGGCCCTGCATGTGGGGCTCTTGGTCCAATATGCTGAGGAGGCATTGGATTCATAGAATTGTCGAAGATCTGAGGAGGAGGACCTCTCTGACCAATTGGTTGGAATGGAGGTGGTCCTCGTGGGGTAAAATTCGGAGGTGGTGGACCTCTTGGAGCAGCATCAAACTGAGAACTGCTACCCCACTGATTCTGGAAAGGTGGATATGATGCAGGTAGTGGATATTGAGAATGATCATTATCCCCACGAGGAGGAGGTGGACCTTGCATTGCGGGAATCTGCATTGGTGGAGGGAGATGCATGGGTGGTGGAACAGGCATTGGTGGAGGGCCTTGCATTGGAGGTAGACCAAGAATAGGTGGAGGCCCAATTGGAGGAGGAAAAGACATTGGAGGTGGAATGTTAGGAGGGTTTGTTGTTGGTATATGCTGTATATGGGAACTGTGAGAATCCATATAAGATGAGTTGTCTTGGATGACATCGTGTGGCACTCCTGAGTGTTTATTATTATTATTTAAACTGATTGTTGAAATGTTATAATATGTGGTTGCAGTGGTCTCAATAGGCTGCCCAATGGATGAAACTGGGTCAGCTTTTAAAATAGACTGTCCAACGGATGAATCAGGTTTCAAAATACTGGCAGAATTAGGCCAAACCTCCTCAAAACTTTTAATCTCAGATTCAATAGGATCATCCTTCGTTTTGTGTTCCTCTTCAGGTTCGTTTTCCATGTAGCTTTCCACCAACTCTGGGTCAATCTTTTCTCCTAGTAACGGAATAGAAACGTCTGTGCTCTCTATATCAAGAAAAGGCACCACTTCACTCTTGCTTGCTTCCTCCTCCTCACCTCCTTCTTCCTCAGACTCAGATGCTTCTGGATGCAGGATAGCAGGCTGCACTGAATCCAAGGTGGCAGTAACTTGCAAAAGGGGAGTATCTGCGGTTGCATCCTCTACTGGTGTATCTTCAGTAGAGTCCAGCTGTGCAGGTTGTGTGTCTGCGGCTAAGCAAGTTTGTGTTAGTGATGTCTCCATCGCTGTATCTTCTTGTGGAAATGTTGTATCTGTAGTAACAGGAGATTCCTCCTCTGTCTCTGTGGAATCAGAAGTCTGTCTTCTATTTGCAGCTGCCTGTCTAGGGTCTCTACTCTGCCTTGGGTCTCTTCTCTGGTTAATAACTGGAGCAGCTGAACTCTTCGCCACCAACTCTTCAACCTTTTTACCAAGCTGCAGCAATTGACTGTTAGCTAACAGAGATGTGACAGGCTGAGAAATCAAAGTCTCTGGTATTTGCTGATGAGCTGCTTCCTCGTGCTTCTGTTCCTCAATTTCTTTGTCTTCAAGCACTTTTTGATGCTCAGTTAATTTTTTAGCACCTGGATCAACTCCAGAATCATTAAAAAGAGAGTCATCCTCAGGGTCATAAGCTACATCATCCGTCATAGAGGTGACCTCTGTTTGCTTAATGACAGCAGATACTTTTGTTGTATTATGGGTATTTTCTGAACCATAGCCAACACCTGGGTCATATTCTTCTTCAGGATCATATGGTCTATCGTCCTGTACTTCTACTTCTCTACCCTTGGTTACGGCAAACCGCTGTACAATTGGATCCAGTATGGGCACAGAGACATCTACAGCACTTTGATCTGAAGGTGATAACGAGACATCAGAATCTTGCTTCTTCTTACCAAAAAGTGTTTTCAGGATAGTCTGAAGTGGAGTGGCTGTAGATGGTGCTGAGACATTTGAGGATGGAGAATTACTACCTGTGCTGGTGCTGACACCAGGTGCTTTCACAGAGGAGAGCATGGAAAACACAGAAGAGATAGAACTTAAAGACTCAGGGGCACTGAAGGGTGGAGGGGTGCCTGGGGGAGTTGTGCTTATAGCATCCAGACTAGATCGAAGAACTTTGTCCTGTTTTATTTCAGATTTAGCAATAATGGATGGTTTTGGAAGGCCTGTCTCATCATCTCTTACAGTTTTAGAGCGTTTCTCCTCATTCTCTAGAGGGGCCCCAGGACGCTTCTTGTCCTTCTGGCAAATCAACAACCCCAGAAGGAGATTGGGACGAGCTGGTTCCAGACCTGCAAAAATGGATGAAACATTATTCCAAAAATAAGTTTTCTATAGATCTATGATTAAGGGATCTTTAGGATATAACAGCTATATAATGTTTAGAGGTAAGAAATACACATTAAGAGAGCTTGTTCCACATAATACAAACTGGTAACATGAACTGTTAAATCTTACCTATAACAAACTTATTCTTACGTTAAGTTTTTTATTGTATCATCCAAATTATCCTTGTGATACATTCAATTAGCAATTACCACACAAGCTTTGTTAATTTAGCATAAATATTCCCTTACACGACATAAAAGCTCCTAATTATATAAAATCTATAGATAGAACAGCCTTTCATTATTAACAAAACTGCTCATGTTTCTTCCTCTGGCAAACTTGTGCCAATAATGCCAATTCTAATCGACAAAATTTTATGCAATTCGTCTCAGGATCATTATCACTCCTTAGGCAGGTCAGATGATTTACTTAAATTTCCCTATAAGACAGGATGATGTCCAGAATGTAACTTACCATGGTTGCCATGATATTACAGCTAGTCCAACAGCAGACAGCATAAATGGCAGCACTTTCATTTTGAAGTGTAATTTTCAGTGCTGTGATGTGGCATTAGTTATATGCCTTACATTATATATTACAAATATAGGTAGTCACTTTGAGCAACTCCATTATTAAACACTTGCTCTTAAAATGAAATATGAACCTGAAAAAATAAGGCTAAGACACAAACATCTAGGACATTGAACTTGGATTCGTGATATATTTTATTAGAAAGTCATAAAATACATGACAACTTGCAGACAGAATAAAGAACACAAAAATAAGCACACAAACTTTGTCTGGATTGAAGAAACTCATTGTATGAGTTGCATTTTGTAGCACGTTTGATATGGCCAAGAATCGTTTTCCATTTTGTAAATTGTGGAACAAGCTTTGCATTTTACAGAATAAAGAGTTAAAATACAGACAGACTTTAATCATGGCATGCTTACCTTTTGTAAACAAAAACAGTTTTTTTTTATTAAAAGTCTGGGGAAAACACTAAAATGATTCTTTAAAAAAAGAGATTTTATAGTATCCTTGTAATGCTTACCTGGTCCATCAAATGGCAGAAGCTTCGCAGGAAGTGGGTCTTTTGAACTCAGAGGGATGAGGTAAAGGTCTTTAATGCGTTTGTTGCTGTTTGCCACTACTCCAAACCGCTTACGGCTACTGAAATAAGAAAACAGAGAAACATACGCCACCTCCTCCTCTTCAGTCGCTGGATGGAAACGAATGAGACTCAGTTCCTGAAAAAAGAAAACTCAGCATGAAAAAAACAAAAATCACTATGATGCACATGAATAAAGTGAAGTACCATTACAATTGGGTTGACTTTCTGAATTTTTTCATACTTTTGACAGTGAAGTCTTCAACTTTCCCACATAATCCCAAACAGTGTGTGGTGATATTCTACCACCAATATGGATGGTGTCAGGCAAGTCCTGCAAATAAAATAAAAAACAGTTGTTAAAATGATTTAACAACACAACTTGAACCCAACAACCTCCTATAAAGAATCTTTAAAAAACAAACCTCCTTAATATGCTCAAATGATCCTGAAACCATATAGGCTTTTGTGACAAACTTGGCAACAGTGTGCATGTTTATGAATCCTTTCCACATCATCTCTTGTCCAGACAAGAACAAAGCGGTTTCACCCTCAGGAGTGGGCTCTGACACACTGTGGAAATACAACAGTTTTACGAATATTGCTACTTACTAAACTGATAATGTAGAAAGAAAAGCATTTTGCACTAAATGTCATATATGCTGTACCTGGTAGTATTTGAGCCATAAATGCGCAGATCTTGTGAAGAGGCTGGTTTTGGCATCACAGGTCTGGGTAGAGATGCTGGGGCAGGAGGGGGCATAGGCAAAGGACCTTTTGCTTCTACAACCGCAGGTTCAACAGAGATAGGAATATTTGCTGGCATAGCAGGAATTTCAGGGACTATGTTAGGCACAGATGACCGGTGACCAGCCGTACGAGGATCCCTTCGGGTTATTGTAACGGAAGAGACTGCTGGTACAGCAGCAGTGACTGGGGCCTGAACCACAGGAAATACACTGCTTGTATCCTCCATCACAGACGTAGAATCAGGCAAAGGCATTTCAACACCAGAGAGAGAGGAAACGTGAGGGAGATCAGCAGGGGATTTGGATGGTCGTGGCTCCGGTTTAGACTTAAAAGATGGCTCTGGCTTTTTAGGCACAGACATTTTGTGTTTTTTAGATGGTGGTTCATCATCTGCAGACTTTTGGCCTGAAAAATTAGCAACATGGAATTTATTTATTAGCTGGTAGACACATCATAGTTGTATATAATACAACCAGTAGTAGGCACTTTCTTAAGAACTCAGGCACAAAATGAACCTTTGGTCTAATAAAACGTTGGAACCTAGTCGACCGTTCTCTGAGATTTGATTTCATGGTAATCGAATGTAAAGAGTTTTATCTCTAAAATCTGTTTAGCGTATAAGACTAGTAATGGGGGCATTTAATAATTAAAAGAAATCGCTAGCACTAACAAGGCTCAAAATAGCCCCACACTAACACAGTAACATAATGAGGGTCGCTAAATGCAAAACGAAGCATTGAGAACTTTGTAGAACTCAGTGTAGAAACCGTTTAATAAGAAGATACTTTATAAAGACAGTTCACTTCGTGTATACAGGCGGCGCCCTCTTTGGAAAACAGTTTCAACAATTCGAACCACGAACGACGTGCCAAGTAAGCTAAACTGTATGAAGTTCAGCGCACTTCTGAACTGCATGAACGGCGTTCGTGGTTCGACTTGCCCCCATTTACTAGCATTGTACGCTGAGATAAAACTCTTTACATTCGATTATCATGAAAACAAATCTCAGAGAACAGTTGACTAGGTACCAATGTTTTATTAGACCAAAGGTTGATTTTGCGCCAGAGTTCTCCTTTAAGGGTATGTGACTTTTTATATTTGGTGATATAGTCCCACCTGTACAGATCTTGCAGTTCAGGTCAAAAAGATGAGCCTTGTGCTCTGCTGTAGTGTCTTTCAGCATAATACTGAAGATATCTGGCATTGAGCTGCCTTTACCAGCAGAGACTGGTGCTTGCTGTGCAGAAGTAGGGCGTGTGTCCTCTTGGGAGTCCTGCACAAAACAAGAACAAACATAGAATGAGAGGGTCAATGAACAATATTATACTTTAGGATACTATTCTCATCCTTGTGAAAGAAAAGACAAAATAAGATCAAGTTGACAGTTATGAGAACAAATTATGCATTCAGGGAGTCGCTTTAGGAAAATGAAATCAGAGCTGGATACAGAGAGGTGTGTGGAAGAAAAGACAGAAAAGGAAAGCAAGAAAGCCAGCACTTACAGCAGCAGAAGCCAAGTAGGGAGATTGGGAAGTGGCAGGCATACATACATCTCCATCAGACATAGGAGGAGGAGCTTCCTCCATGTCTACATCAGGGGGAGGACCCTCCTGTCTAGATCCACTTTTGGGCTGGGATCTCCCACTGGGACTCTTTTGAATAAGTACATAAGTTTAAGCAAAGAGCATAAACATTGCATAATTTTATCAAATTGTATCTCGTTTTACCTCAGAGATTTCAGATTTTCTCCAGTCTGACATCTCCTTGGAAAGAAGTTCTTCTGGACTCAGTCTAACCAGCCTAAAAGGACTGATCTCGCCACCAATCACACGATAGAACAGGCCCTGCCACACAGGCAAGTAAAAAAATTAATAATTTAAACCTCACAAAGCTACTAAAAATGCCTATGTATATTACAATATCATAATTGTCTCTATTAAACAAAGAAAAAAGTAACTCACCTTGTTTTTGGGGTCCTTCAGGTTGAACATAAGGGACCTGTACTTGTTCTTGTACTTGTTATCAGTGTTCAAATAAAGGTTAAACATCTCCTTCTCAATGCTGACAGCCAACTTTCCCACTTCGCTCTCAGACATGGAGAGATCATCACTGTCACTGACTCTGTGGCACAATAATGAATTTAAATATGCAAATTCTTGGAAAGACATTGAAAATCCTTTTATATAAAATATTTAATCACTAATGAGGTAAACATTTGAAAAGTTAAAATTTAAACCTCTTAAAAATGTAAAGGTACACCATGTAACTTCTTGTTGAAAATGTACACAAGTGAATACATCATAAACCTCCAAACTGTTTTTGTCTTATCCTGAATCACTATGGTACACCTAAAATAAATGTTTATATTCATAATATTTTAGACAGAACAGGACGACAGCTACACCAGAGTAACCCAGTACCGGTGTGACCCGTCATACACAAACAGAGAGCAAGCATTTTGTTAATTAAACACTAGGGCATTTAAAGTTACAGTGTACCTTTATTATTATTTAATTAGAACCTTCTATCTCAAAGATTTTTTCATTTTAATGTGTATTTATGTTAATCGTCACTCACCTTTTGTACAGGATATCAGTCAGTGATCGTCTGATGTTGGATCTCATCTGGTTGTTGGGCGGCGGCTGTGGAGGGCCAGTAGTGGCAGTTGGCTGGGTTGGTTTGGGCAATGGGTGTTGGGTGGATGATACTGGGGAAGGTGGGGTTCTAGTGTTAGGAGAGGGACTAGGCTCTGCAGGCTCCTTTGGTCCTGCCTGTGGCTGTTTTTTTGGGATAGTAAAGGTGCTTTTGCCAACTCGAAGAGCTCCAGAGGCATGGTGGCGAGATCCGGGGGGGCCTGAAGGAGATAAAACTGGAATTGGTGGTGGAGGAGGTCCCGGCTTCTTCACTTTGCCCTGCGGTATGGGCTGTTTTCTTAACTCTCTGCCACTGCTCAAAGGAGCTGCATTTGTTTTGCCTTTAGGAAGAGGAGAGGTGGCAGCAGCAGCAGCCTTTGTCCCCTTGGAGCCAGGAGACTTCTTCCCACCTTTGGGAGCAATATTTGTAACAGGGGGTTTCTTGTCAGCGGGTGCAGTCTCCTTCTCTGGCTTGACCTCTTCATTGCCTTCTTTTTCTTTGTCTTTTTGGGGAGCTGCTGGACGACAAAAGGAATAAAAGGATTCATGAATGTAGAAATGGAACAATTATTTCAAATAGCTCTTCATTTGGTAAAAATAAATAAATAATTTTAGTGTAATGCGAATTGTAGTGCCTTGCCTTGAAATTGTAATAATTTTCTCAAGTTACTGAATATGAAGACCACCATTACCAGTTCAAGAATTGGATTGAAGACACAAACAAGAAAATGTTGAACATGTAACCTTTATTTTAAAAACTAATTTACAATCATCTCTAAGCAAGTTTACCTGAAAGAAACTACCTGACTCACAGACCAGTCAGATGTATTTGCATATATTTAATTACATTCTTTAAACAATTTATTAATCATAATAATCAGCAAGTGACTAGGTAGCATAAAAAAATACCAACAAACTGGAGCACATAGCAACTATTATTTTGTATGTAAATTTACTTTTTTTTATATATATTTGGCAAATTTGAAGAAAAAAATATGAAGGGTTCATGCAACAAATTAAGATTCACTGCTTGCTTTTTTAAATAATTTTCTATTATATATCACTAACTAACCCAAATAAATATTGTGGGGGGGGGGGGGGCATTCAAGAAAACATTACATAAGGACTTTATGGCCTGGTTTCACAGACAGGGTTTAGATTAAGCCAGGATTAGGCTTTAGGACATTTAAGTAGCTTTTATAAACTTGCACTAATTTGCACTTTTTTTAAAATAGCACTAACATTCATTCTAGTCTGAGACTAGGCTTAAGCCTCGTCTGTGAAACCAGGGGAATAAAGGATTAATATTTTACCAACTACATGAAAAGCATGCCAATTTGATTAGAGATGTGACCATATAACCAGTGTACAATAAACCACAGTGGACCTAAGCTCCCTTGTATTGCAGTAATGCATCCTTAAAAAGCACTTCAGAGTAATCCCATTCATGTGTTACTCTCATCAGACAAATATCTCCATATCTTGGTCAACACAAAAAGCAGAATACACAAACAATCCAAGGCAACCTTATGTAAATATAAAGTCACATTCATAAGACTTAAAACCCATTTTAAAAAAGCTGCAGGGACAATGACAAAGTTTTCTGGTTCATAATTTCAGATATCAGACATACCCCACATTAAGTTTAAGGTGTCCTCTGTTTTTGCATTTGGAAACTAAAAACTTGCCCTTTCCAGTACTCAATCATTCCTACTAGTGCAGAAAAACAATTTCAATCTCTGCATCAAATCAACTGCATTCAGCTTTCAACAAGTACACTAACCTCTCAATATGTCATTTGTTCATATTTAAATATGCAATAAGACAAGAGTATCTGCATTGTTCTACATTCTGTGTATATGCTTGACATATCCCTGTGTGCTGCAATAATGAGGCATGTGAATTCTGTCGTTGTCTGCTGTGGGGTGATTGATAATGATGTCCTCAGCTGTTCTTCATTACGGTTCCCCATTACATCAGCTTACTCTCTGGGCTCTTGGACTTTTCTGAAACGCCACACTTCTTCTCTCAGTCCGGCTCCAAGGTCTGTAGGCTTCTTATTGCAAAACACGCTGTGACATTCAGCGGAAGGCTGACAAAGGCCAAAACCAGGCAGAGGCCATGACATCCCATGTTGTCATCCAATAAACAGACTTCTCTCTCACAATTGAAGCACAGGGGCAGCAGAGTATTATCCGAAATTTCACTTTATTTTGAATGCCACTTTGTCCACTCAAGATTTATAAATGCAGTGCATGCAAGTCAAAGGAATATCAAACTAAAAGCTGTTAGTTATAAAGTTACATGTTTTCATTAATGGGTAACAGGACTGTAGTCAAATGTCCATGTGATCAGAGATGTTCTATTCTTAGTCAGGGAGGAGGGCAGGAGAAAAAGACACCAAAACCTACCTGATCAGGTGTGTGGTCAGTACAGCGTTTCGGATGAAGTTATTGCCCCGATGACGGCAGAGATTGGAGATAAATGGCAATGGTATTCCACACATGAGAAACTCAAATTCACATGCACATACATTGTAGACGTTTATCAGAAAGCTTTACAAAAGCACTTCATGGCAAGGCACTACAGTTTGAGCTCAGATCCCTAGGATCTAAATTTCTAGATCACTTTTTTAGTGCCAGATAAATAAAGTACTTATACATAGACTGCAAAATACAGTCTTTATGCATTTAGATCATAAATACTTACCATATATTTCTTATTTTAAACTTACCTGTTCTGGATCTCAGAATGACCTGATACAGGTATTTTTCAAATATTAGCATCTTGTAGTGTTAATTAAACACTGCCAAAATATTTTAGATGTAGCACGGAGTGTCCAGCTTAAAACCATAGTTACAGCTGTGCTAAAATTCTGGCGTTAATATCCTTTAAACGCACGTAATTTCCATTTCAGTCCAATTTACACCAGAAAAGAGCTGCTATTTTTAAATCCCCTTAGGCTGCAATAATTTCAATCAGTTGTGCTTGACAGTTCAACGCCCCCATCATTGGTAGACACAGGTCAATAAAATGTGGAAAACCCTCAGAGAGATACATACACGCTTTGTTTAACACAGATGCTGATATGGGTGTAGTCTTTTCTGGCGTTACTGCAATGTAATTATGGTCACTGGACCAGGATGACATGGCCGGAGGCGGCGGATGCTCCTCTGCATGCTTGTCTTCATCATCATCCTCTTCCTCAGTCCCAGATTCTGACTCCTCCTCCTCCTCACCTTGGTTAGAGGACCTCCTTTCTGGTCCAGACCTCTTCTATAGACAAGAACAAAACATTGTTAGCTTAAAAAAAATTATATATACATTTTTATTAAATAGATTTTTTTTTTAAGACATTGAAGAAAAACATCAGGTATTTTCACACTACTAAAAATGCAACAGTACTTCTTACATTTAGAGCAAAAACTATTGAAAATGGAGAATTAAAGATTTAAATAACCTATAGCTTTATAGCAAAAGAGGAAATACAATACCTGTTTTCCTGTTTTATCGTGCACCTGAATTAGCAACTACTGGATTAAAAACTTCTCAATTTAAACCTAAACGCTAATGTAAATGTATCCTCATAGAACAGTCATCCAGCCATAATCCATGCGTAAAATAATTTCCTACCAATAAAGCCTTAATAAAATGTATATTGCATGATTATTATTAGGTGGCTATTAATAATACCTTCTGTGGTGATTTATTTCTGGTCTTTTTCTGCATTTTGGGTTTGCCCCTCTCTTTCTGTTTGGAGTCTTTTCCATCCGTGGTGATGATCTTCATGGCAGCAGCAGCATGTCTGAGTATGCAGTCGTTCCCACAGTAGACAGAGTCAGGGAGGGCATCTCTCTCACAGCCAGGGCCGATGCATTTTGGGAGGGAAGATTCCTGAACTGCAGTCACCTGCTAAAAACTCAGGGATATCAAACCTCTGTGGCCACTACATTATGGCAGTAGATCGTACTTTTTTTTTTTAAATCAACCTAAACAAGTATTATTTTTCCGCTATCAGTTTAAAAAAGGAACTTAATGTGGTCATATGACAACAATACATTGCTATCTAGTTAAAAATGCTTATAATTTTAAACTCAATTTTGTGTAAAAATGTGTCCTGATCAAATGAGTCCAAGATGATTTTGGCTAATGTTAACTCCAAGTTCATCCACCATGACATTAGAAATCAAGGGTCATAGCATTGCAGAATACAAAATCCAAAAGCAACAAGCTCAGTTGTATACTGCACATTTAGCTGACTCAAGTAGCTCATTTGGGTATTCAACAGATACTGCAGCAATACTAATAGTAGCATGGTAACATGCTAACCCAAACAGTCACAAGACTTGTGAATATTTTGAATAGGTATTTCTTTCCAGCATAATTCAACAAATCAAACAAAAACAATAGAATTTTGAAATTCTTGTTAATAGATACAGGAAATGCATAAGATCGCAAAAAGGTGAGCAATTATTATGACATAAGATAATTTAGAATCAATTATTAGACTATAATAGCATTTAGTCTTAGCATATTGTTGATTTCAAAATCTATTTTAAATGTGGCTCATTTACAGACACCTTTTAGTTTTAGTTTTAATGAGATAATCTCTTTATTATTACATTCATAAAAAAGACAACTTACCATATCTTAATTATCATAATTAGATTCCTTTAGGACGTAAAATTCAAGTGATTTGGTTGTTACAAACCCCCTTTATATATACGCAGGAAAGGTATTCAGTTGAGAAAACAACATGAAACCCCAAAAAACAGTTTTAATGCTTCGCTATGGAACTAAAAAGTGTGGTTCTCAAATGTTGTCTTTGCCATCTGATTTTTCCCAACATTAGCTTAAAAAAGTGGCCAAACCTGATTATCATGCTTATATTATACAATGAAACTTTGAAAATCACACAGATGATAGCTTCAAAATTTACTAAATGCCAAATACTGACATAAAAAGCAAGTGTATGAATAATCTGAATCAGATAATGATGTTGCAATTTTACATTAAATTTAAGTTATACTTAAAAATGTCACTGATAATAAAATCCTGTGAGAAAAAACTGTCGAAATTCAAGCATCGATAACTGTATCCAGAACCTGTATACTTCAACACCATGAACTCAAATGTAAAAAAAGAAGACAAAAAGTGGAAAAAGTGCAGTATTCAAACTCGTGTTTCATTCAGACACATACCGGCTGGAAAATCTTTATTTTCTTTTTCCCACTAGGATTGGTAGCCTTCTCGATCCTCCCCTTGATACCCAGGTCATCAGAAGTTTTGTCCTCTGTGGTGGCTGGAGAAGTGCTAGATGCTGTAGCGAGACCGGTCTCAGTTTTACGAAGGCCAGCTACTGGCCGTTTGCCATTCTCTGCAGCTGCCGTGGAGGAGCCGGCCTTGGAAATCTGCCCCTTCTGTGTGTAGCAGTTTGGACAGACATAGTCCTCTCCATTTCTCTCCATCAGTCGGCCACGTGCCTCAGAGATGCCGACACAGTCGCCATGAAACCACTCCTCGCAGCGATCGCAGCAGATCATAAACCTATAAGGATTTAAACAATGACCAAACACCCTCAATAATCATTAAATCCACAAGAGACATAAAACCTCAGCTGACAAAAACAAAAAGTAAGCAAATGGCGTTCTCTGCTACTTGCTAACAAACACATGCCACTTTTCTGCATCTTGCCTGATAAGGACAGTGTGTAACATTACTCAAGTGTTAAAGAAACGACTAACAAAGAAATCGGATGGCTGGGCCAATACAGAATTGTGGAACCTGTATCAATAATTCTTGTCAGGATACTCATAATTTTGTCCCTTTCAGCTTGCGCTTTAAAACACTACAATCTGACAAACACCAATATCAAACATCAATAAACTATTTGAATTGCACTACACATGTTGCTTTTCCTTGCTAAAGCTCAGTTATAACTAAATACACTGGGTGGCGCTGTGGAGCTGGTTAAGTTGACTGTATTTGATCACAGAAAGTCTTCTTTGATCATAATAATTTTACTAAATGACCTTACAAAATGGAATTACTTTTGATTAAATGGATCAACACGTCGTGTGGAAACATTGTCGGGTGAAACAGATTTATCATATCACCATCATGAAATCACAAGAATTCCAAACACCAGTCGAATGAAGAAAGACATTCACAACTGCAGGTAAGCACAGTTGTACCCAATGAGTGAGTCGTGAAGACAACTTATCTGATTGCAAAATTATCGAGACATATGCTTTGTTAAAGCTTTGTTGAGGGACACAGGTTTAAGAACAAACACAAATTGCTGTAAGAAACTTTGCTTAGCACACCGTTTTCTGTGTCCCTGCAGAGTCTTTCGGCGAAGCACATTTTATCTGCATCCAGCCTTACTGTTATCAGGCTGAGGAGCCAACTTTTACCTGAGCATGTGGATATTCATTTTCCTCAACATGAACATGTGAAATAATATAAACACAATAACCATATGCTGACTCAAGTGTAAATGTATGTTCTGCACGATAACTTAACAGCTTAAATGCTTTAGATCTGTATATTTTTTGTTTACACACATTGTTTAATGTTATCTTCTAAAATACCTCAAGATGTAATGAAAGCTTGTTGTGTATATTTGCTAATCATGAGCTTTTTCAGAAAAAAATCCCATCCCTATTGGAAATGTCTGAACTGAAATGCAACGCATGCAGAGTGAGCCCCACATAGATCAAACTACACTCAACTAAAGGATTATTAGGAACACCTGTTCATTTTCTCATTAATGCAATTATCTAATCAACCAATCACATGGCAGTTGCATCAATGCATTTAGGGGTGTGGTCCTGGTCAAGACAATCTCCTGAACCCCAAACTGAATGTCAGAATGGTGATTTAAGTAATTTTGAGCGTGGCATGGTTGTTGGTGCCAGATGGGCCGGTCTGAGTATTTCACAAACTGCTCAGTTACTGGGATTTTCACGCACAACCATTTCTAGGGTTTACAAATAATGGTGTGAAAAGGGAAAAGCATCCAGTAAGCAGCAGTCCTGTGGGCGAAAATGCCTTGTTGATGCTAGAGGTCAGAGGAGAATGGGCCGACTGATTCAAGCAACTTTGCCTGAAATAACCAATTGCTACAACCAAGGTATGCATCAAAGCCACAACACGCACAACCTTGAGGCGGATGGTTGGGCCCTATAATTTCCGCGATCACGGAATCGCGGACTGAATTGGCAAATTAACGCACAATCTAGTGTTACGGTGGAATTTCGTGGAATTTTACATAATTGGTTTGAAATTCTGTTTTTTTTGGGGGGGAGAAGGAGCAAATCTGGGCGACACAACCCCCCCAACCCTCGACCTCATAATTTCAGCTACAATGACGAAATCAAAACAACAAAAGCATGGCGAAGAGGCTCTCCACGGCTCTGCTTTCGTCTGCAAAAAAGTTCAAATCTATAAGCCGTCAGTGTCGAGCCAAGCAGTTTGAACGCAGTGTTGCCACACACCTACTAATTTCGCGATGTTACCTCAATAAATTTAAGGTTATTCCTATTTTATCTGTACACATTTTAATCATTAACTTTAAAAGCACACTCTTTTTACTACTAAACAGTCAAGGGTAAAAAAAAAAAAGAATCCCCAAAAATGAAAACGGAAAAAACGGAATTTGGGGTAAAAACAAAATGGATTTCATAGGGCCCTGGGATGGGCTACAACAGCAGAAGACCCCACCGGGTACCACTCATCTCCACTACAAATAGGAAAAAGAGGCTACAATTTGCAAGAGCTCACCAAAATTGGACAGTTGAAGACTGGAAAAATGTTGCCTGGTCTGATGAGTCTCGATTTCTGTTGAGACATTCAGATGGTAGAGTCAGAATTTGGCGTAAACAGAATGAGAGCATGGATCCATCATGCCTTGTTACCACTGTGCAGGCTGGTGGTGGTGGTGTAATGGTGTGGGGGATGTTTTCTTGGCACATTTTAGGCTCCTTATTGCCAATTGAGCATTGTTTAAATGCCACGGCCTACTTGAGAATTGTTTCTGACCGTGTCCATCCCTTTATGTACCCATCCTCTGATGGCTACTTCCAGCAGGATAATGCCCCATGTCAAAAAGCTCGAATAATTTCAAATTGGTTTCTTGAACACGACAATGAGTTCGCTGTACTAAAATGGCCCCCACAGTCACCAGATCTCAACCCAATAGAGCATCTTTGGGATGTGGTGGAACGGGAGCTTCGTGCCCTGGATGTGCATCCCACAAAATCTCCCTCAACTGCAAGATACTGTCCTATCAATATGGGCCAACATTTCTAAAGAATGCTTTCAGCACCTTGTTGAATCAATGCCATGTAGAATTAAGGCAGTTCTGAAGGCGAAAGGGGGTCAAACAGTATTAACATGGTGTTCCTAATAATCCTTTAGGTCAGTGTATATCTGCTGTGTGAAAACACCCTCAGATGCACAAGTCAATGAAATACAGATGCCATTTGTGTCAAACTCATACTTATTATGGGCAATGCCAATACAGTTTAATTTTAAGATGTACATGACACCAATAACTTGCACAAGACCTAATAGTTTTAGTACGCAAAACACTTATTAAACACTCATTACATTGATTCCTCCTTGGCCTAAATAAGACTGTTTAGGCTTTCTGTGAAACTCATGATTTATTTTAAAATACTCCAGGTGATGCATGTGCACAAACTTGTACGGTATAAAAACGCGTTTTGTTCCTTTGTGCTCTCTATCTTCTGCTGATGACATGACACTCACATGAGAGCTCTTTTTGTTTAGTATGTACTTCACTGTGTAAACTTCTGTAAAATCTCTTAAATTACATATTTTATGCAAGTGATAAATACATTACCACTAAAGTATATAATATTAAACAAACTACATATACTGTATAATTAATATGTAGCCTATACCAATATTATTAAAATAATTCAAACTGACTATTTAGTTTTAATACATATATTTATAACTAGGATATACAGTATATAAAATGTGTATTATATTTTATAACTTTTATATAAAATTATACATTTTATATACAAATATTAATACATCTCATAAAAACATTGTTTTTCTTATTCTTTTTTTCTTCAAAATCTACATGCATCAGTTAAAATTTAATTCACCCAGTATCCAGCAAACAACATGTCAACTAAAAAGTATCTCATGCACCTTTAACAAAGACACGTACCTTTTGTTGTGTTTCTGCCTGCAGATGCAGTAAAGTGCATTAGGGTCATAACCATCACTGTCGCAATCACCGGACGACGACGACTCATCATCATCATCATCATCATCGTCGTCATCATCATCGTCATCCTCATTCTCTTTCTTCTCTTTGCGGAGCTTCACTCCTACTTTGGGTTTAGTGTCTCTTTTAGAATCTTTACTGGCTGCTCTGGTAAGACGTCTTTTTATGGACTCATTTGAGGCCTTCTCTTTGCTCTTATTACCATCCTCCACTTCTTCCTCTTCTTTCATCTCCACATCCATCGCTTGTTCCTTTTTTGCTTCCACATCCTTCCCATCTTCAGCACTGGCTTCAGTCTCAGCGTGTTCTTGAGTCTCTTTTGCTACTTCACTTTCAGCCTCATCTTCGTTTTCAGAGCTGCCATCATCACTCACTGAGTCTTCGTCTGCTTTAGGCACCACTGCCCTTCTCGCCCTTCCCCGGCCCCTTTTCCCTGGTGAGGCCACTTTCTGTTCCTCTAATTTGGCTTCGGCATTTCCGTCAAAGCTGGCCTCGGAAGCAGTTTCAGCATCGGTTGGGGTCTGGGATGGAGGATCCCCTCCCTCAAGTCGTGAGGGACAACTTCTCCTGCCCGTTCCTCTTCCTCGCTTCACAGTGACCAGAAACTCTTCCAGTTTGTCCGTGCGCTTTGCTTGTCTGCCGCTACGACGCACCGGGGCGCCCTTGCCCTCTGGAGTCTCCGCTGCCATTTCTCCAGAAATTTCCCTCTTAGCAATGGTAGTCCGACGAAAGCCCCAAGTCTTCTTAAACTCGCCTAAGGGCTTTGTGGATTTATCAGGGTCCTCTACCTTGTCTTCACTAACATCACCTTGGTCTTTTTGATCTTTGACTTCGTCTGAGACCGATGTTGGTTCTGTGTGTGAACGTAGCAAAATTAGTTGACAATAAATGTTTAAATGTAAGAGATATGCAATTTGATAAACTGTGATATGTACAGCCAAGCTGATAAATCAATGAAAATGCAGGTGCAAATTCAGTAAAAACACATTAATTAACATTGTGATGTGTGACGTCACACCACACATTGAAAAAAAAAAAAATTAAAAAACGCTTTTAGCCATTTAATATTTTAAATAGAATAGATAGGAACTCTTAAATCTTAATGATTACATCCTGTTTCAATTTCCGAATTTGAAATCCTGATTGGAGTCAATGGTGGAGTGGGCCGTGGGTACCTTGTGAACTGGTATCCACAGGATCCTGGCTGGGCTCAGGCTCATGGGCTTGAGCCAGCTCAGGGCTCACACTCTCCTCCATAGCAGAGAGACACTATTTTTCAAACAGAATATCTATAATTAAGAAAGAAGAAAGATTTAATGGGGAGCACAACTCCCAAATAGTATTATAAATTCCGAAGCGAATAGTCTTCTCAGATAAAGCCTTGCTAGTTGAAGATGCTAATGAGTCTTTCCTTTGGATGCATTTAGTAAATTGTATTGCTGAGGCCCAAAAAAAGGGATTTAACATGCTTGAGATGTCTAAAAGTGCTCCATCCTTGATCTTTTGCATTCAGGGTGTGGTCAAATTAAAATACACTATATACAAATTTAAGGATGTGTAAAATATTCTTTAAAGCAGTGGTTCTCAAACCTGTCCTGGTGAACCACCAAGACTGCATAGGCGTTTTTCAATACCAAGTACGCAAAGTTCGGACTTGCGTCCTTGGCGGTTCAGACTTGCCAAGTACGACTCAGGAGAACGAACTCCCGAGGACGAGAGGATGCAAGTCCGGTTATTCTGCAAATGGAACAGAGCGCACTTGATCGCGTCACTCAGCACGCTCTGGCTACTCCAGTTATCTATTTATATATATATTTTAGGCAACAATAAAACGAAATATGCTACAACTCTGCCTCTTTTCGTCAAAAATAAAACGAAATTTGTTATAAAACACCACTTTGCCTCTTTTCATTAAAAAAAAAAATCTTAAACATATTTGGCCATGTGGTTCTTCACTCCATATATTAATAACATAATGAACATGATCTTTTTGTTTTCATTTTAAAAATATGAAACGTTATTGATTTTTATTGACATTTAACAAACAAAAACAGAGTTAATTTTATTGTTCATATAGTGAAGATCCATGTAAAAAATGAAATAAATAAATAAAAATATTTATTTATAATAACACAATATAAAGTTTTTTTTTTTTGCCATGGAACAAACTAGTTACATGAGACGAGGCCAAAGATGGACTTTTACACAGGACGAATTATACGTCAAGTTTATCCACTAGACGAGACATCTCTGCCAGCGGCAGACGCACTAGCCGTCAGAAGCACTAGCCGAGGAAAAGCTGTTCGAGTCGGGGTTGATGAGCGCTGGGCGCCGCTGAAGGCTTGCATGTCAGAGCTCCGAAAACGTCAGATACATCTTTTATAAATAAACCACAGACTTGAGATTTAAACAACCACATTCTCATCTGAAACACTCTTAAAATTACATTTCATGACACAATAACAGTAGTATTTTGATATTTCACGGATTTTCTCCTCTCCCATTGACGCTTGCTGGTTGACGCGAGATGCATTCTGGTATACCTGGCTATCTCAAGTCTGCACAAGTCACCTCTCGATGCATCCTCGGTAAACGGGGCGGATCAAGAACACATCCGGGGATTTGAAGTGGACTTGGCTAGATGTGAACTTTGAATTGGAACAGTACTTGGGCAGTGAATGATGACGTTTCTCAAGTCCACAAGAACACAAGTACAGACAAGAACGCATATTGAGAAACGACATTTGTCTCCCTAATCAAAAAGACCTGATTCAAATATCACATGGGCGAATGAGCTGATGAGTAGAATCAGGTGTGTTTGATTAGGAAGACAGAAAACATGCGGTGTTGGTGGTCCACCAGGACAGGATTGAGAACCACTCACTGCTCTAAACCATTTAGACGGCAAGAACAAAACCATGACAATGATGGAAACGATGTATCTTCTTGTTCATAAAGTGCACACTGGGCTTCTCAACTAAATCATATTAAACAATAATATTACACTTAACTAGGCTATATTTTATTTCAACTATAAAATACAGCCTTGGTGAACAAGACTTATTTCAAATCTATACACACACACACACACACAACAAGAATTAGAATCAAATAGAATACCACATCAGTGGAATAGTGGTAGAAAACACTCCATAAAATTGTTTTATTCTTAAAAAATAAGCAGGATCAGTTGAAACATAACTACTTATAATTTAGGCAAATGATTCATCATAAAAAGTTTGTGCATTTTGAGTTTGAATATTTTTTTTTTTGAAAAGGACTACAGACCAAGCAATAAACTCTTTCAAGTAGACATAAATAGATGTGCATACATCAAGTTTTACTGAAAACCTCCACCACTGAATTGTGTATTTTAAGTTTCATACACCAGTGTAATACATTTATTACATGGAGGAGTATTATTCTAGTAGCCTTAGCCTAATTATAATGCACTTTCGAATTACAGTCAATGCATTGAATTTTCATAATTCAGTTCAATTCATTCAACATGTTTACACACTAGAAATTAATTTCATATTACTTACTATGCAAAAAGTACTTTTGAGTTTCATACAATTGCATGCCATCTTTGATGGACTTTTGTATGACGCGTCGTGATAGTTATGTCAAATATCTAGGATAAGGCATACATAACTCAGCATGATGCAGCATATCACAATGAAGATATTTTAATGGCAAGAGCTGCATTAATAACAATAAAGTGAGTATATATCTTTAACAATGCAATCTAGAGAAAACCAGACCTGCTGTAAGAAGACACCTGCGTTCTCTAACATACATTTGGCAATGGAGGTAAAGTGGCATAACTCATTAATACGTTTCCAGGACACAATTACTGTCAACCATTCTCACTACAATAAACAGTAACAGTAGGACTTCAGTTGTCAAAAACATACGGTCTCTCATACTAACAGTAGTGAAAGGCTGTACCTGTTTGCTATGATGACTGGAACTCTTCTATTTAAGATAGTGATCTATAAACAACGAAAAGATAGAAGAGTTAAAAATTAGCAATGAAAACTTGACCTCATGTGCTAGGTTGTCATTTCAGCAAATCATAACTCTTTTTCTGCATATTAATTTATGTTCCTATTCAGCCATCTTAGTCCAAGTTATACAACAAAAATAAAAATAGCTCTCCAACCATGTACCAAAAATGTTACACAAGATCAATTAGACAAAAATATGCATGTTTATGTCACAATGTTGCACATTGTAGATAGATTTCTGAGAGTGACAAATTGCTAATTATGTCTACAAATCAATAAAAACTACAGTTAATACGTTTTAAGTTTACTTGCATACAATAAGCAAATGGACATTCTGTACAGAATTAAATATGCCATATATCTGAATGCATAGTAGCTCAAAAAATCACCAAAAATATTCATCAACTACAGCAATAAACCAAATATTAAAAGCAAATATTACTGCAATCATGTCATGCATTATCCAAAAATATTGAGATATTGAAACAAAAGAAATAAGAATGAAAAGGAAATTTACGTCACATGTGCTCAAGGCCTAGTTATTAACGTGGCTGGATCCATAAAAATTAACCGTGTCTAGTGTAGGCCTAACTTAAAGAACGATGATGCATTTTAAGAAGGCCTGATATTTATGAACACTGCATTGCTGCATATAGTACATTAGTCGTTTTAAACTAAATAAAAAATACAACTGTGCTCTGCAATGGCCGCCCAAAGTAGCAAGTAACGTTAGCTTAACGTAACTTAAGTTAAACGCCATTAAAACTGACACGAGCAACTAAGCAAAACTATAACCCATATTACGTACTGTAAAATTCACATAAGAGTAACAAGGAAAAGGCGACAAAATTAGATAAAACAAAATCTTTTCTTCCAGGATGAAATAGAGATTTGTTACTTGCCCGTTAACGTTAGCTAATAGCTAGCGCACGACCTCCATTTCACAATCTCTCACACAAGAGATCATTTTACGCCCGTTATTTTGTTTCTAAGACTTATACATACGAGCCTGTGTGTATATGGCGTTGAATATTCCTGAATATATTTCGGATTGGACTGCACATAAATAGTAAGCTACTGGTGCTAAATCTAACATTTCTGCGAATCGGTTCTTTCGAACAGCCCTTTCTGTCGTTTTTCGTCATCGAGCAATGGCGCTATCACGTGGTTCATAAGTCCAGGCGTTCCAGTAAAACATTGTGTACGCATATGTTGCTGATTATGTTATTGATAAATATGCTTTTGTAGGTGTATATTATTTAATGTGCCTCAGTGTGGCGAGGGAATCATACAGACTCGTTTACGAATTGCATGTAGTAAGAGCACTGGTGGGTTTCGGTCACGGAGAGCAGCCACGTGAGAAGCTGTTAACGTCTAACGTTATATGTAATTTTTATCATTAAATATCATAATGACAAAAGTATTTAGAGAGAGTTCAAAAATCATGGAATAAAATTCTACATCATTAAATTTTAAATACTTGAAGCCTTTTTATAAGTAACGTTATGTTATTTTCCATAACTTTTCCATTCATGCAGCAAAATAACGTAACGTAACGTAACATATACAAACGAACTTAACATTACGATAAATTAGACCAAAATAACAGCACAAAAACATTGTGCACAACATTAAACGTTAGTGCAGAGAAGCGCACACACCCACTTTGTCGACACAGAACAAATCAAAACTTCACTGCATTAATATTCGCATAAAACAATCACATTTTTTAAAAAGACGGAAATAATGCCATCGGATACATAGCAATATGTTTAGAGAATAACGTTCAGTCACATTTTAATAAGAAGATTATCAATTCATAAAACAGACATGCGTTCAACTCGCATTGCAACAGCTATCAATCAAATTCACAGCTGTAACGTTACTTTTCTGTTGCGAGTTGGTTTTCTCCATCTGGAATAATGTTTTCTTACCAAATAAATACGGAGGCTCGTGGCGCCATTACTGGAGCGCTAGTTTCAATATGACAAACTGTGTCTGCATCTCTACCTTTATTAAGCACAAATGAACAGCGAAATAGCGTGCACTACTGCTCATTACAACTGGAAATGCATACTTACTTGTTAGCATTAATGTAGTTTGGCGTACGGTCAATGCAACGGTGTGACCTCCATTTTCTTTTCTTGTTGATGATGGCGGCGAATTTTTGCCTGTAGTGCTCCAGATAGCGTGAGACGAACCACATTCGAAGTTGAAGTTACAATTTAGGACAGCGACGCAGTGTCGTGGGGGTGAAACTGCATAATCTTCAGATATCTGACATGCAGAAGTGCGCCTTCTAGTGTTCAGAATCAGGCCTCTATTGCAAAGATGTTTACACTCGCAAGGGATTTGTCTCGGTGACAGAAGCTTCCAAGTCAGAATGACAACAATTGAGACAAGGGTAATAAAAGGAAAATAAAAATATAAAAATAGGCAAAAAAAAAAAAAAAAAAAAACTCAATGGGCTCTATGCACGGCGTTATTTCCGGTGAAGGATTAAGGATGCTCGATAACTTCCGCCGATCATAGAGTCCAATGCAATACCGAGAATTTATATTGAATTTTATACTCCATGGTTATACTAATGAAACGTTAGTCACAAAAACAGATAAAACAGACACCCCTCGTTGTGTTTATGCTTCTTTTTAAAATTATATTAAATAAACATAATATATAAAATTACATCTAAACGTATGTACGTTTCGTTTTAAGACGGGAGGACAGTAAATATTGAAGACTCTGCCATAATCCCGTTTTCTCCGGTTTTCCTCCGCTTTAATCTACACAACCGGAAATGGACGAGCATCCTTACGTCAAATGCGGAACTTATGCGTGGCGTGCATATAGCCCATTGACAATGTAGGCCCTTTTACAATTTTATAAAAGGATGTGAATAAGAGGTATGATATCCAATAAAAGTATTTAGAGTCGGGCATTGCACATGTTCTTATTGTAAAGTGGGGGCATTTACCGGTTAATAAGGGAGATGGCCTGAGGAAAGAAACCTTTCTTTTGTCTGGCTGTTCAGGTGCTCAGTGCTCTGTAGCGGCAACCAGATGGCAACACTTCAAAGAAGAAGTGGCCTCGATGTGAGAAGTCAGAGGGATTTTTCCAGCCCCCTTCCTCACTCTGGATGAGTACAGTTCTTGGAGTGTGGGAAGGGTTGTACCGATGATTCTCTCAGCAGTCTGGACTATCTGCTCTTCTGAGGTCTGAATTAATAGCTGAGCCAAACCAAAGTCCCTTTCAGGCAAGTCATTTCATTTCAGGCGGGAGCAGCCAATGCACATGATCTAAAGCAGCTGATTGGCTCTTTAATTTAGAAGGTGGGACTTATTCCACCATATTGTGCATTGCACTTTCTCCCATTCATAGTTATCAGTGCACAATCTTTCTTCTTTCTAAAGTATTTGGTCAAACCAGACAAGAAGTGCAGAGGACAGACCCTATGACCGGCAGGTAGAACTTTGTCAGCTGAATAAGAATTGACCATTCTAATATTTTATGTACTGGGATTTTTATTAAATTATTTTTCTGTGCACATCATTATTTAAAATGATCATCTTTAATCAAAATAACATTATGTTACGTACTTAACCACAGTTCTGTGAGCAGAAGTGAGGTATTTCACTATGGGAGACACCTCAGGCTAGCCTAGAAATCTAGACGCACCCTAGCGGCAGCAAAAATTATTTTGCAGCCAGTGCGGTCTAGCAACTCTCCGTTGGCTTGCGAGCTGGAAAGGCCTGGACAAGCCAATCACATTGTGTATAGAGTTGCTGGGCGGGCTTAACATAATGACAGCAGAGTTGTGATGGTTCCGCATGGTTTCCATAGGTGATTTCCCTGCTACTTGAAAACAAAGAAGATGCTGCTGGCGAACAGGAGTCTTTCGAATCAGCTTTGGCCGTGACTCTCTCTGGAGGACTCGGAGACTTGGAGTTAAGAGAACGTCACTTTTGAAGACCGGATACGGCAAAAGTTTAATATATCAACTAGCTCCACAGGTGGGAAAACACATATGGGACTCACTCATCTACAGCCTTTCGTTGCTCTGGTTGGTTGTAGCGCTATCCAATTGCATGCAGAGGGATTTTGAAAGACAACTGTTTATCCCGGCCCTCGGATTGAGGCATGCCAATTGTGAGTTCCCAGACCTAACATCTTGATGTAGGTCTGGCTTGCCTGAGCCTCAGGCATGACCAATCCTGGAATTACCAATTACACCACATGGTAGACTGGTAGACTAAGCCCTCAGCCATGAAACAAATAACTTAATTTTTTCCAATTTGTGCACCATTGCTCAAACACATTCCATTTCCGATATGCAGAGCACTCTGAAACCACTCTCGTATTCTTAAAAGTCTTAATCACCCTTGAAGGCAAACCCATAACACTCAAGTTTAAACTCTCACAAGCCAGACCCAAAGAGTCACTTTGTCCAGGGCTGGGTGAAAAAAATCTGTCCAGTTCTGAAACTCTCTCACTCGCAACAGTCTCTGAGGAATAAATTGAACTGATGCACTCCTCCAACAGAAATGCTTGATCTGAGGTCTGACTATATAGGTGTGAGTTTAATCTGAGATTATATCTTGTATGGGCACCAAGTAGCTTTTAGTCCTCTTAATTTTTAAACCTAAGTTCTCTAAATAGGACATGAGTACTTTTGTATCTATCTCTGCCTGCTGCTGTGACAGAGCACAGATCGTCTAAGTAACCTGACTCCCAAGCTGTGAAGTGTACCCTGAGAATGGTGGTTTTAGCACTTCCAAGTCAGGTGGTCCCAAGTCCAGTGTTCTTAGCACTTCCGAGACAGGTGGTCTGTCCCAGGTCCAGTGGTCCTGGAGATTCTTCCACTGTCTGCCGCACTTCCTGTGATGGCAACCGCCATCTTGTGTGTTTGGGCCGCACATACTTACTCCTCTAGAGGTGGCAATATCTACACTTGAACCCTCTTTCTGCCTAGTCAAGGCCAAGGAGGCTGTCTCTGAACCATCTGCCTGTCCCGCCATGGCTAAGGAGGCCACCTCTGAACCCTCTGTGCTTCCAGTTATAGCCACAGAGGCCATCATTGCTCCATGTCATCTCTGGACTTTTTGTTACTGTTACGGAGACCCTTTCTGAACTCTCTGTACCCCCATCAGCTCTGTTGCTACCTCAGATGCCACCATTGAACTCTGTACTTTCTGTCAGAGGCCGATTCTGAACTCTAAGCTCCCTGCTATAGGATCAAACTCTCTCTGCACTTTGTTGCATTTTCAGTGTGGTCTCCAGCTACGCCTGCACCGATGTGGTTCCATACCCCGCCGTGGTCTCCAGCTCTGCCTTGGTGGTCTTCAGCTCCATCTAGTCTGTCTCTCTCTCCAGGCCCTTTACCACTCCATGAGCCTGGTCATCCATCCCTCCCCTGTTCTGCCTCTGCTCCATCACCCTCCTAGACTCTTGTTTCCGTTTTTGGAGAGTCTTGAATCTGCTTGGTAATGATTCCTGTCTTTTTTCCAGGATTCCTTGTACCCATAGTTCCAGTATCTCACTTCCTGTGTTTAGTCTTTGTTTGCGTTTGTTTCTAGTTACCCACATTAGTTTCCAAATGGCGCTTTTCCACTGCTGGTACTGCTCGGTACGACTCAGTACGGTTCGGCTCGGCACAGTTTGGCTCGCTTCGCTTTTCCACTGAGTGGTACAACGGCACGGCAGGGCTCGGTTTGCTTTAGCTCGGTTGCTTTTCCACTGCAGTTAGTACTGCTTTAAAGTGGGTGGGATTATAGACTGTTCGATAACAGTGGTGGCTGTTACTGGCTATTTAAATCTAGCAGGTTTGGTTTCTCTTGTCGATGTCTATTGGTCGCAAATATAATGACGCTGGTAGTGATGATTCTGTCTGACCAATCAGTGATCTGCAGTGTTTCACATCACATTTTAGTACCGGTACAGTACGCTTGGAACCTCAACAGACCAGGTACCATTTAAAGCGAGCCTTACCGTACTGTACCATGGAGTGGAAAAGTGCCACACGTGAGCCATACTGAGCCTAGCCGTTCCGTACTATGCAGTGGAAAATCGCCAAAGCATGCCGTACCGAACCGAACCGTGCAGTGGAAAAGCGCCCAAAATGATTCTTTGTTTACACCTGTCCGTTGTTATGTTGTGTATATATTAATATAAGTCTACAGAATCTGTTGGCGTTCTCAGTTCTGGTCCATTTATGTGTTCCTGGAGTCTGCTATTTTGTTTATTTTGTTTCCTTTTACATTTGTTTCGATTAATAAATGAATAAAGTTCACCCCACATTACATTAAACATTAGATTCGGACTTGCCTTATTACCGTCCTTTAGACCCAGCAAGTCTTCAGATTGATACAAGATTTGACAGCAATAATAACACAGATATCCACAAAATATTATGCACAAGCCACCACATACATACTGCGGCAAAAACAAAACACTTGTTTTAGTAATCACTTATATGTAACTCAGACATACATCAAGCATACAACTTTACACACATTTTCTGTAATACTGTAATATAAAAACACATTTGATGGTCCAAATAAGGTGTATAGGTGTGTGTGAAGTCCACTTTTTTCTATTGTTACTGTCAATCACTCATTAAAATATGACTCCAATGTGAAACATTTACATAAGTGTTCTCTTTTATTCACTTGCACCATACAAAAACTATTAATTACAATTTAGACCACCAGATCTTTATTTATATACAATATGTAAACATCTATCTGTTCTTCTTGAACGCTCTCCTTTTCTGTACATGTTTTGGAATAACATATTTATGCACTATTAATAGCATAACAGAGGAATGTTTGTGGTTCATAGATACAGTATCTTATGGGTTCATAAGTTTTTTTTCTTAAAACGTTGAGAATACAGCATCAAAATGATTGCTATATGCAAAATTACAATAAACAAAAAAAGTACTTTAAACTTTCTTAATCATCTGTGTTGTTGTGAAGTTACAGTCCAGTTAAAAAAAAAAGGATATTAAAACTTAAATAAAACCAATTAAATGTTTAAATACAAAGTAATCAGGTATTTTTGAAAGATCAAGAGGGAAGCATAAATTACTTGTCTTAAAGTATCTTAAAGGCAAATGCATCTTAAAGGCAAGTAATTATTTGACACCAACAATATAGGCATGACAAAATCTGTCATTCATCACTGGACTAGCA